TCCTCACAGACTTGTAACTTGCCCAACTTACAGTGATTATGACCTTAAAGCATTTATTTTACACATTCTACCGATTTCAACACCATGAAAATAGTCGGTGGTTTCATGCAATTAGGCGCGTTTGTATTCGTATGCCATGTAGGGTTGAACTGAATTTACACAAGATCATAGCTGACACAAACTCAATGTAAAAGAATAGCAATAAATGAATCAGAGAGTTGAACAACTTATGACTGAATAATTTAATCTATTGGGTTGGCAACTAAGTCATTGCCGTTTTCGTTGACGAATTCACTCTATACTTTCTTTTGTTTTGTTAACGTGGCCAGAGCAACTAAACCATATTTTTTTCTTACTGTATGGGCTTCTAGGTTAATTAGTAAAAATTTTTTTGTTTAGTTCCTTAGTTTTATTTTTATCCCAATTTAAAAATGAAAGAACAGGACGTGCACTTCCGACACACTTTATTGTATTACTTCCGAAAAGCCAAGAACGCATCGCAAAGACAAAAGAAGTTATGTGCCGTATATGGAGATGAAGCCGTGAGGAAGAAAGGCAGTGTCGAAATTGGTTTGAAAGATTTCGTTCCGGTGATTTTTCACTGAAAAATTTACAACGATCTAGCCGCCCAGTCGAAGTGGATGAAACCCATATCAAGGCCATTATCGATTCAAATCGTCACAGCACAACACGAGATATTGCAGAGAAGCTCAATGTGTCGCATACATGCATTGAAAAAAATTAAAAACCCTTGGTTATGTCAAGAAACTTGATTTATGGATCCCTCACCAGTTAAAGGAAATTCATTTGATGCAACGGATTAGCATCTGTGATTCGCCGCTACTGAAACGCAATGAGAATGATCCATTTCTGAAGAACCTAGTTACTGGCGACGAAAAGTGGATAGTTTATAACAATGTTACTCGCAAGAGATCATGGGTGAAGCAAGATCAACCAGCCCAAACAGTATCAAAAGCAGCAGAGATTCACCAAAAAAGATTATGCTGTCAGTCTGGTGGGATCACAAAGGAATTTTGTATTTTGAACTCATGCCGCAGAACCAAACGATAAATTCAAATGTGTATGTTGAAGAACTCGAAAAACTGAAGGATGCAATTGAAGATAAGCGGCCGGCATTATGAAATCGGAAGGGTGTTGTTTTCCATCATGATAACGCAAGGCCCCACACATCTTTGATTACTCGGCAAAAATTATTGGAACTGGGTTGGGATGTTTTGTCACACCCACCATACCATTTGTTTCGTTCCATGCAAAACTCTTTAAATGGTAAAATTTTTAACAACGCGGCTGATGTCGGATCACACCTAATTCAGTTTTTTAATAGCAAAGACCAGACATTTTACGAACGGGGAATTTTTACTCTGCCAGAACGATGGAAAAAGGTCATCGACATGAACGGCCAATATCTAATTGAATAAAGTTATATTTTTAAACAAAAATTCCGAATTTGCCTTCTTATTTGAAATCGGCAATGACTTAATTGCCAACCTAATAATTAATGGAAACGAGTCAACCGGCTGGAGGACTATTAAGTAAGTCAATTTGCTTCCACCTCTCCCTTACTAATCTAGTCTTTTCAACTTTTTGTCATGAATATTTTTTAAACCACCTTCTCTTTGCATCTCATGGGTGATAAATGGGTAAAACGCGAACAACTTGTTTCACTAGCGGTGTTCGAAAAAGTACCTTATTTATGTTGTGAAAACAGGCAAGAATCGGAGAGTTGCCTCTGTGCTAAACATTTGAATTGTAACAGCAAAATTCTGGCGGAGATACTGTTCAAATTCTCCCCATTACCTTCATGGTGAAGAACGCATTGACAAGAGTTGTTAAGCAAACTTGGTTTTCCTCCCTATTGACCGCGAATTTAAAACACTAATTCCAATCAACAAAGAGTACTTTAAATTTTTTCTCATTCAATTATAATTAACTGGCAAATATCAACTCTGTGGAATTTTAAATGCTGCTCAAATCTTACTCTCTATTGAAGTTTCCATTGCCTGATTTTGTTGTTTGAAATAGCACTCAACATCGCTCAAATATAATTAAAATTTTTTACCAGCTACCATAAATATTACAAACTAGGAGGTTCATAAATTAGGCGAACTTCTACATCAGCAATTTAATCAGATGGTCGTACAACTGGACTTGTCGGAACTACTGAGGACACTCTGAAATTTGAGATTTTATTAAATTTAGGCACATTTAAAACTTGCATAATAAAAATTATTGAATTCATTTTGAAGGAATTGAGTAAAATTCTCTTTTACTTTCAAAGCTCCGATTTCAATTAACGATCTATAGAATTCTATGCATGCCAAAAAATGTCCTGTTTTATAAATCTGCCAGTAAGAAACAAGTTGATTTCGAAATCACGAGGACCTGATTATTATATTTTCAAAATAGGGGTGTGGAATAGACTTACATACACGTGGTGCACCCTGACCAAACGTATACTCATACGGCAAAAAAGTATCTTAACCGACGATTGACTTCTGACTTCAAACTACCATTACCTCTCTATATGTTATATTCGACTACTTCCACAGTACTCATCTCACCTCTTTTCTACCTTTGTGCCTGACTCTTTTACATCTTTGAAACACTCTTCCCTCCCCCCTCTCGACTTTTTTTCACTTTGAAGTTCCTTCTCCTCTGTGAAGCCTGAAGTCAACTAAAGGGTTAATGAAAACCATCAAAACGCCTGCCATTTGATATAAATATTGTCAAAATATAAACATGTTCCCTAATTTATGTGACTATAATACATACTGCCTTGCTAAATTTCAATTGATCGTTTGAATAAAATGAATCATAGAACATATCAATTTGCAACTAAAGCGTCGGCAAATTTGACAACATTCAATGTAAAGTGACAAATGGAAAAAATTAAAATAAATTTAAAAATAATCAGAAATGAAGAAATATTTATAAATAAAATACATAGCACATGTACTTTATTTAAATCCCATTTTCTCGTTTGTTTGCAATTAAATTACAAAAAAACCATTTCTGCATTCAAAAGCCAGAATTTAATTATAAGCAAATCAGAATTATTTTTTTATTGCAATCTCTTGCAAAGGAAATGGTTGAAATTGCAATGAAACTTACAGCATTTAAAACATAGTTTAAATTGAAATGTTAATCAAAGCTGGCCATTGAAGTTAAACAACATGAAACAATTATGATTCCACGTTTCAATAACTGTTGCGAAAGCACAAATAATAACATATTTAACTAATATATCGTCATTTAATTAAAATTTTCGTATAATATTTATTTTCTGAAGCGTAAGTCACATATATAATATCCAAACACGAAATTGTCAACTCAATGTAAGACAATCGTTATTATCAAAATTGACGAAAACTGAAACAACAGTACCTTATGATATCATTAATTAAAATTTAGATCTCAAATTATTCGAAGCATATTTTTCACATTCAATAAAATTTCGGGCAAAACATTAAAATATTGAATTTAAAAATGTCGCTTTGACTAATTTATTTTCAAATTTGGAAAAAAACTTGTTGCTTTGGTGGTAATTATGTTATTTACTAGACCAATTATGATTCCCGACAAGTTTGAATTTTCTACTTTTTAAATTATTAACAACACCTTTAAAAATATAGTAATTTCAAATATTTGTGAATTTGGCTAACCCTAATTTGCTATAATTAAAAATCGTGACATTTGAAATAATCAAATATACAGGATTTAAAAAGATTACGCTACAATAAGGAAATGAATAGAGGAAATTTCTCATGCGAAATTTGAGCTAATGTGATTGGCGTATTATCAGCCATAATGAACCGTATTTCCAACATTTCGAAGGAAGTGGTTTGTTCTAGCGAGACTGACTTCCACATACCAACATCCGAAAATTAGCATTGGATGCCACTGGCAAATTCTCTGGGTAGTTATTAATGAATTTTGAATTATGGAAAGTTAACTCTAACCGATTTAACCGATTCGAGTTTTGCTTCTTACAGCAAAAATATGCAAAATAACTTGCAGATCTGTATCCCATAGTGTGTGTGCTCCGATTCAAGTATATAAATTTTTTGCTTTTTATTTTTTATATTTAGTTAATGTAAAGCTCATCAATGACTTGTATTGAGCATATTTGTTATAGTTGCGTATCGTGCCACAATACCATAAATAGTGGGATTCAAATGTTGAAATTCTATTCCTTTCACTATATTAAATCTACTAAATTTTTCAAAGTTGGGTGTGCGAAAGACTTACCTTCACGTGGTGCACCCGGCAGTTGACTTCTGACTTTATGACCCCACTACCTGTCATTTTCGACCTCTTCCACCGTACACATCTTACCTTTTCTCTGCCTCTGTGTATGTCAATCTCTTTTATATCTGCGAATCATTATTCTTTCCCCCTCTCGACTTTTTGTAACCTTGATGTTCCTCCCCTCCGTGAAGCTCGAAGTCAACTTAAGGCTAACGATAACTATCAAAACGCCCGCCATTTGAAATAAATAAATAAATATTGAAACTTCATTATGAACCATTTGAAATAAATAAATATATATATATATATTTTGAAATAAATAAATGTTATGGCATTGAGTGTTTTGAAACAGATAAATATAAATAGTTATTATCAAATATAATGTATATAAGAGGTCTTTACAATAGTTACACGTTGTTTCCTTTCCCACCTTCGAATACGAACGAAACATTAGAATCACGGTGGTCTCTAGGGGTAGCGACAAGTACCCATAGGAGAAAAGTACATAAAAGCCGCTATCCCCCGAAACATAACCTAGGCTTGCAACAACACCTGTACAACGCCCGTAGATTACCTCCATCCAATAATCATTAAACGACAAAATACCCCCCAAAGGAAATAAAAGAATTGCTTTCACGTGGACTCTAAAAGATCCAAGCAAACTGAATGGAGCTTAAAATGGACAAACCTTGTTGGAAAGAGAGAAAGGAGAGAGAAAAAGGACGTGACAACTAATAGTACCTGTGGAGTTGAATTTCGATCCAACAGGGCGTCTCCTTGATGTCATGCCGTGGGTAATCAGGTCCCCATCCCTTGACAAAGCTCAGACGGAGGTTGCAGAGTCGTCGAAAATCGTCCACACCAACACCGGCCGCTTCACAGGTGCCCAAGGGAGCTGTAGAACCGCCTGCACAATTCCCGGGGTCAGAGGGCATCTGCTGCATGGAAGAGCCAGCCACCGCGGCCGCCTGTCGCATTGCTGCCGCTTGAGTCATTTGGGCCAAGTGACGCATCTGCTCGTGGCACTGGCGAATGTCAAATACCTGGACAGTCAGAAAAAAAACCAAGTCAGTGTGTAAAGCGAAGGGAAACCAACAATCATTCTCCCCATTTTATGCGCTCGATACCTTGGTAGTGGGGTGTGTGATAGACTTACCTCCACGTGGTGCACCCTGGGCAACGTATACTCATACGGCAAAAAAGTTTATTATTCGGCAGTTGACTTCTGACTTCAAACTACCATAACCCCACTGTATGTCATATTCGACCCCTTCCACAGTACTCATCTAGCCTTTTTTCCACCTTATCTACCTTCGTCTTTGATACACTCTTCTGTTTCCCCCCTGCCCTCTTGAATTTTTTACACTTTGATGTTCCTTCCCCTCTGTGAAGACTGAAGTCAACTAAAGGGCTAATGATAACAATCAAAACGCCTGCCATTCGATATAATAATAATAATACCTTGGTAGTAATGGCAACGTGACTC